GGGGAGGGGGGAGGACGGCGGAGAGGGGAGGACGGCGGAGAAGTTGGTGGGAAAGCAAAGCAGAAAATGTTGATAGATTGGGCGAGACGACGTGGGTGCGCATGGATCGGGCCCCAGTTGGTTTTGGCGAGAGCACGAAACCTGAACCCCAGCAACCACAGTGTCTAAAACTTCAAACATTGACAACCACAGCCCCACCTTGTAAAGCACTCCCGCACCCACTTCAAGCCACCCGCCAAATATCCAGAGCCCCCCCCCCCCCCAAACCCGCTGGCCCACCAACCTGAACGCGCGCGAGTCGAGGGCCAGCAGTGAGGTGTTGAACAGCGTGGCCGCCAGGAAGGCCGCCACGTGCCCAGCCAGCCGGGGGTAGATGAGGCCCGCCACGATGCCGTGACGCAGGATGATGGCGGGGGGTGCTACGTACTCCATGGCAATCAGGCTGCGGCCGCCGTCAAAGTGGAACACGCGGGGCACGTGCGCCGACGCCAGCGCGTGCTGCAGCCGCAGCGCCTCCGCCTCAATGCGGCAGCGGTCGCGCGACAGCGGCCAGCTCTCGCCGACGCAGCGCACGTAGGGCAGCGACTCCTTGACACACAGGCCGCCAGCCGGGCCCGTCACCAGGTACACAAAATTGATGTTGCCGTCGGCGCGCACCTCCACCTGCCAGTCGGCCGCGCCCTCAGGGGGCCCCACCTTCTCCGCCAGCGCGGGCCGCGCCGCCACGTAGCCGCGCACGCCCTCCTCACCCAGTGGCCGCCCCAGCACTGCCTTGGGCTCGTCACCGCCCTCAGCTGCTGCGCTGCCATCAGCCGCAGCATCGCCATTGCCGTTGCCGTTGCCGCTGGCGGCCGGCGGGCTCCACAGGCCAAGCGCCCCCATGAAGGCGCGCACCGCGTGGCCGCCGCTGTCGTGGTCGCGCGGCACGACGCCCCTCTCTGTCACGATGCCCTCCACCAGGCTGCCGGGCACCACATCAAAGCAGGGGTTCCAGATGCCAATGCCCTCCGCCGCCACGCGCTGCCCTCGGAAGTGAGTGATCTCCTCCGGTGGCCGCTGCTCAATAACGATTGCTGCGCCGCTGGGCAGGGACGCGTCCAGGGTGGTGGTGGGGGCGGCGACAAAGAACGGCAGGCTGTGGTGCGCGGCCGCGATGCCCAGGGCGTAGGTGCCAATCTTGTTGGCGGTGTCGCCGTTTGCCACGACGCGGTCCGCGCCCACCACCACAGCGTCTACGTCACCCGCGCCCATCAGCGCCGCGGCAGCGCTGTCGCAGATGAGGGTGGCGGGGAGGCCGTCGTGCACCAGCTCAAACGCAGTCAGGCGGGCGCCTGGGCGGCGGAGTGGCAGAGGAGGGGCTGATGTCAGGGGATGACGGGTGCTGCAATGTCCCTTGTGGGGTAGCGCAAGCCACGGCTGCAATTTTATGTTCGCTTTGGAGCTGCACCGCACACGACCCACTGCCAAAGGACGCTCAGCTGCCTGTCAGGTTGAGATGCCCCAGCAAAGTTCAACCCTAAGCCCGCGGCGCACACCCCGCCCACCTTGGTTGTATGGCCGCGTCTCTGTGCAGTAGGCGTGCTCCAGCGCCCCGGCATCGTGCAGCGCGCGGATGATGCCCAGCGCCGTGCCGTAGGCCGCTGTAGCCAGGCTGCCCGTGTTGCAGTGCGTCAGGACGCGCACCTTGCCGCCACTGCGCGTGCGGCCGCGCGCCGCCACCGCGTCAAGCAGCGCTTTGGCGCCTGCTGCGCCGATGGCCTGTGTGCAAAAGGTGGGTGGGTAGAAGGGCAGCAGCACCCAATCAACGTCGCAGGGTCGGCTGCAACACCCACGAAGCCTGTACTGATAAACTGCGGTCGTTATGTGCCGTGTTCATGCTCGCCTGCATTCTGCAGAATGTCTGGTCGCGCACCTCCCCATGTCACCAGGGCCAGGCGTCAACGGACGGAGGCCGTCTGACACAGCCCCCGGGCCCACCTTGTTGGCCGCGATATCCTCCTCCAGGGTCGCCTCCGCAGCCGCCACCACCTCAGCCGTCACACTCTCAGGGGTGGCGCCCTCCGCCGCCGCCGCTTGGCGCGCCACTGCCTTGAGCTTGGTGGCAGAGTCCGCCAGGTTGACAGCCGTAGGGCGGCTGTGTTCGCGCGTTTCACAGCAGCCGCGGGGGGAAGCAGCCAGCCGGTGTCAACCCGCATGATTGCGTGTCAGCAGAGCTGCTGACTGTTGCGGCTCAATACATTCAGAGTACGTCCATTGATGGCATCATCACAAGGGGGGACACTGCTGAGACGGTGCCCAGCAGCCCCAGCTGCTACGGCCAGCTATCAACCAGGCGCAGGCGTCACCACTTCCAGTTGCCGTCTCACGTCCCTCAGTAGCCCCCTGGGGCCCAGCTCTAGTGGTGTGCCCCTCCGCAGGCGCCATCCCTGCGCATTTGTCACGGGGCCCCACCTGGTCACAAGGTAGTCCATGGTCTTCTCAACATCCTCCACCACTGCCGCCACGCTGCTGTACTGCTTGCCGCCGCCGTTGCGCGTCAGGTGAGATGCTAGAGACAGCGCGCCAGTGACACCAATGGCCTGCAGTAGGCCATGGCAGAGGTGGTCAGAGATGGCCAAGTGGTACCTGAGCAGCCCCTCATGGAGCGTGCAGCGTTGCAGCGGCGCGCACGCCGTTTTGATGGCTTTCCCTTGGCCGCCGGCGCCACAGGCGCGCCCGAGAGCGCCTTGAATGCACGAACACTTGGTAGCATATAAATATCATGCAAAGTTGCGACTACCACGCCCTGTAATGGAGATGCCCATGAATAGTGTCACGATCTCCGCCCATGCCATCCACGCGCGCTGGCCGAGCCACGCCCTCACCGGGGCTCCACGCACAACCATATCCTTGATTTGCTGCCATGCGTCCTGAGGCGTCGGCGTTGGAAGCCACGCCGTCTCAAACGGCAGCTTGCGCTGGTCCAGCAGCGAGAGGCCGCTCGCACGGTCATAGCGGATGGCGATGAGGGACCCCATGCCGGCTCGGGCTGCTCAGAACAAGAGAGCGCAGTGTGTGAGGATGTGACACCGCTCTCATATTGAAAGCGCATGGTGTGACATGAGTGAGGCCTGCTGCTTCGCCTTCTCTGGTGCTGAGCGCGCTGGGCAGCAACAGCAACAGCAACAGCAACCGCCGGCTGATGACGATGGTCCTGGGGATGTCTGGTAGGCGCACGAGATTTTACTAAGCTTCAAGAAAATGTTGTGCAGATAGTGTTACAAAGGAGCGCCTATACATGGCGCATCGCTCACGAAGGGGGCGCACCCACAAACACATGATGCGGCGCTTGCGGCCCAATTAGCAGAGGGTGCAGGTAGCGGGGTTTGATCCTGCAGGACTCGCAGAGGTCTTGAAAATCCTGGAGCGCATATACAGTTTCCAAACCTCAACGACAAGTATGATGCATGGAGCCCAGACAATAGGAGGAAAGAGGCGGAGTGGGGATCGAAACAGAGGGAGGGTGCTCAAGGGGAATCGGGATCCCCCGGCAGGATGAGGTGCAGGTCGTGGAGGATGGTCTCAAACTCATCCAGCTCTGACAGGTCAACAAAGGAGCCGATAGTGGCCGCGCCCTGCACCGCCGCTGCCGCCGTGCTACCGCTCGCGCTTGGCGCTGCGAGTAGGCTGCCGTCAGGCGCGGCCACAGGGGCTGTGGCAGGCAGTGTGGGGCCGCCCGTGGTACCCTCGCCAGCCTGTTGCCCTGCGCCTGCCTGTGACGAGACGGCAGCATCCGCGGCTACTGCCTCGTCCGCAGCCTCGGCCAGTGGGGTGAGCTCCGCGCGCTCGCTGTTGCCGTCCGTGAGAGTGCGCATGAGGCGACGCGTGGAGAAGCTGGCGGGCCGCCCCAGGCGTGCCGTCTCTGCGGCCGCTGCCTCCTTGGCCTGTCGCAGCTCCCTGTCGCTGACGAGGTCCTGGCTGAGGGCGCGGTCCAGGACGCGGCGGTACACGTGGACGGGCCACTGCAGGGGGGCCACCTTTGGGGGCGACGCATCAACAAGGGTGGGATGAGTGACAATCATTGTGAAGAAACCGAGGCAGGTTGACGCACATCTTCTACTGTCACAAGGACCCCAACAAAAAGCACGGGAGATCACCAGCAACTGCCAACCCGCAGACCCCGCTCCCAGCCGCCGCCATTTTGAACCTTGACGGCGGTGATGATGGCCTCAAAGTCGTCGAGCGCCAGCAGCTCCCCCTGCAGCGCCTCCATCAGGGACAGCGCCACGCGCGCAAGCACCGCGTCGTCGCCGCTCTGCAGCAGCACGTCCAGGATGCGGCCCCCAAAGTGCAGGGGGAAGGGCGACGCGTAGAGCGTCATGAACCACTGCGACGCGTACAGCACGGCCGGCAGGCCCGCCGCCAGCAGGTGCGCGTGGAGGGCCGGCAGGTGCCCGGCCAGCAGCAGCTCAAACCGCGACAGCTCCAACCTGGGGGAATTAAGCCAGCGATGGGCGGTGTGGTACAGATGTTGATGCAGAGCCGGCATGACCAGCAGGTGGCACGCCTAGAGTGCAAGGACCACAGCCATGCGGCTCCTGCAACAACCGGCACACCCCTCACGTGCTCACTGCCACCAAGGACTAGTTCAGTGCCGCCACCCCTCCACCTTGCAGCCCACTCAGTCCCACGCCGCAACGCACTCACTTAAGGGGGTCGAGCCCCGGCTGGTAGAGGCGCCGCAGCCCCGCGCCCCGTGGGGGATCATCCAGCAGGCGGCAGTAGAGGGTGAACGCGGCCTCCTCCGGCACGTACATCAGCAGCATGCCCGCAGCAAAGGCTGCAAGGGATTGACATTTGAAGGGTGCATATGGGGTCGTGAGGATGACAGGGCGCCGCGTGTGCATATGGAAGTGCTGCTGAACGAGGGACGCCGTCAGTGAGGGTTACGATGGGCGCTGAAGCCACTCCAGCAAGGGGCAAAGCTTTGGAACAGACCCCTGCCTTCTGCCGCCAAACACGCACCCGCACGGCCTGCCCCAACCCCCTCACCCTGGCCCTGGCAGTAGCCAACCTCCTCATCATGCAGCGCGTAAGCACGTAGCAGGCGGCCAAGTCGTGCCTGACCGTCCCCCGCCACAAACAGCGGGTGCTCAGGGAAGGTGCGCCCCAGGTCCCTCGCAATGACGTCATCCACGGGCTCAACACCCCCCATGCAGCGCTGCACTGCCTCGCCGGGCGGCGTGGCCACCAGGCGCGCGTATTGGCCGTCCGGGTCGGTGGACGCCGGGATGCCCGCGCCCTCCACCCAGGGGACCTCCACCATCGCCTCAAACAAAGCGGCCTGGCTCGCGCGCACCTCGTCCAGCGGGGCTGGGGCACACATGTCGCAGCAGGGGAGTGGAATGCAGTTGAGTGCTGCCCGGTGGGGACGCCACGGGGAGGGAGGCAACCGTGCTCATCAAGTGTGTGGAGCCTTGCATGATTCCGCCCACGAGGCCTGTCAATTGGGGAGCCCCAGCGTGCCAAGCCCACCGCCGCACGCCGATCAAGACCACCCACCGCACTCCATCATCGACCGTGCCAGCGTCCGCACTGTCTCCAGTGCCTCGACTGCGCCAGAGTCCCCCACAGCGCCGCTCAGAGCGCTGCGGTCGAGCACCTCCCACTCGTCAGACCCCTGGGACCGCCTTGCAAGTGACGCGGGGCGTGCCGCGCCCTGAGCATCGTCCAGTGGCAGCGACGGCGCACCGTCAGCATTGCCGAGCCCGCTGATGCCGGCTGCTTCGTCGAAGGCTGGTGCCGAAGTGCAATTCCACGGGCTGGGGGCGGACGGCTGGAAGGTGAAGTCCCAGGGAGGGGGCGCTAAGGGGATGCCGCCACTCTCTGCAGCTGCTCCCGCCTGCCCGCTGCCGCTCGCTGGACCAGCTTGCGCAGAGTCGCCGCAGCTGCTGCTGTTTGTGGGGGTGCTGTCGCAGTCGATCCCATCATGCGCCGGGGCCGCGACCACGTCACCGTTTGGTGCGGCCGTCTCCTCCATGGATGCTGCGCTTGCCATGCAGCCGCTGCTCTCCGCTGCCTCTGGTCCCCCTACCTCTGATGCTGCACCGCCCTCCTGCCGCTGGACCCCAAGCTGCTTGTCTTCAGGACTCTCTTGCCTGTCGTGCTCCCGGTGCTGCTGCGGCTGCTCTTGCTGCTGCTGCTGCTGCTGCTGCTGCTGCTGCTGCTGCTGCTGCTGCTGCTGCTGCTGCTGCTGCTGCTGCTGCTGAAGGAGACGATGATGATCCTGGCACACAGGACTGGCTGCTTTGGCCACGTGCTGCCCCTGCTGCTCCCAGCCGTGGCTAGCGCCTTCACCTTGCCGCACTGATACGCTGAGCCCCTCACCCTCCGCACCCTTCCCGCCCTCGTCTGTCTCAGTGAGCACTACGCCATCTGGCACCGTGCTGGGCCGCTTGACATGCTTCGGCCCACTTTGGCAACCTGTGCCTCCATTTGTGAGCGCCTGCTGCTGCACGGAAACGTGGGACGCAGACCAGTGCAAGCAGTAGTCAGAAGACACGGGCGAATGCATTGCTTGACAAATTGACCCATTTGCACTTTAGCATCCCTGTGCTGTGGCTCCAGACCCATGCACAGGGTCGACAGCCAACCCTTGCAAGGGTAACCACTAGCCGCATTTAAGTGGTCCGCTCGCCACCTGTCATGCAACTAATTCAAAAGTGGTCGCATGTACACGCGCGCGCACGTTGCAATCACACGTACACGCATATGCGCTCGCACATGCACACGCGGCCCGGTAGCCCCGTAGCCCCCCACCTTAAGGGCGTGTGCAACGTCATCACGCGTGCTAAGGACATAGTACAGCCGCGACCGCATCTCAGAGGGCATGTCCTCATACACCTGAGCCCCCATCTGGATGTCCATGGGTGTGCGCCGCAGGAAATCAAACCCCGCCTCGGGTGCGTCTGACGGGTGATGCTGCTGCTGCTGCTGCTGGCGCTGAAACTCTGACACCTGACAGGGCGGAGGGCGGGTTGATTGCAGTGACGACAGCACGATGCATCGCAAATGCGCTTCGATTGGTGACGCGTGCAGTTTGATCACGCTGCACGTCCGCCAGCGGTCCCACCAGCGCGTGCACAAAGTGCTTGAGGGTTGCCGCCGCACCTTGCGCTCGATATCCTTCAGCACGGACTGCGAAAGGTGGAGGGACAAGGAGGGGGCGCATGGCGAAGAGTTGCAGCAGCAAGCAGGTGGGAAATGCTACAATGAGAGCTGGGCGTATAAAATTCACAGTGGGACAAGTCCTGCGAGCAGCCAAGGCTATACCCGCACCACTGCACGCGAGGGTGACATCAGTGGCAAATTCGCCAAACCCTACCTGCACCCGTTTGACGCCCAGCTCTGCCACCGTGCTGGCCCCCTCCTCCAGGCCTGAGGTACGGGGTGAAATGGGTGAACGCTTGTGAGGTTCAGGGCCATCGGCTGACATCGCCAGCCCGGCAGCCGGCGTGAAGCGACCTCCATAAACGCACACAGTTGTTGCGAGCCGAAGGGCACATCCTGCCGCTCACCTCTCTGTATGCCCTGGATGCCCCTTGACGCTTCATCAATAATCAGGGCGGCGCCCCTCCTGCATCGAACACATTGTACAGGCAAGTTGATGGGCCATTAGCTGTGGCGCCGGCGTGTTGAGCAATATTGTGCATGATGATCCTCGTGCGCCTGCACAGCTCACCGCACTCTCACAGCGGCTCCATGTCCCTCACCTGCGCAGCGAGGGGTCAGACAACAGCTCGCCAGCTGAAGCCGCTGCACGGAACAGGGCGCCCGCCGCATGGGACACGCGCTCCTTGAAGCCGCGCTGTCTGCCCGAGTGCCCCGCCTCGTCCATTGCGCAGTTTGCGCCGGGCGCGGGTGGTGCACGCTCGCAGCGATGCAAGGCGTTATGCTGCCGTGGCACAAAGTTATTCTGCACGTTGGATGCACTGCGTTGAGCGTCCACGCTGGGGCGTTCAGGACGCAGCAGGGGACCGCGGGCCTGACTGTGTCATCGCGGTGCTCGAGAAGCCCCGTATCTTTGGCTGCAGCTTATTTAGATAACTCTGTTAACTTCCAGCACAGGTTTTCGAGTGGGTCAGATCACCATGCACTCATCAGTGCCAGGCTCCAAGCAGGTTCATCGAACCAGGTCTGCCAAACCGCTTCTCTTGGTGAAGCTGCGCTGGGTATGTACTACGTCATAAAGCCCTCTCAATTACAGCTTCCAGCGCAGGCGTGAGTACGGTCATGGCCAGGCAGGTGCGCTTTGTCCAAGACTAGCAGCGTGTAGGCCCGCGAGTTGATCTCTCCAGGACACTTTACATTGGATGGATACAGGCATTTTGTTCATTGAAATACATTATCAATCTCATCACTTGGTATAGGAAGATGGGTTGTTATTCCTCACAGTACTCTTTTGGCGGCAGCAACGTTTCAGTGCGATCACAGGCCCATATCGTATCAACACCAGTGACGACAAACGCGCGCAAGGTGCCAGCGAGGCAAGCACCTGTTAGGATGTCAGAGAAGGTTTCATGGAATGAGGTGGCCGATTGAATGCACTACAAGGCGGTTTGGAAGCTACCCTCCCCACCTCCCTGCACCCCTTCTCGCTTTTCCTGTAGTCGCACAGTCCTGACAGGCAAGAGCAAGGGAAGCCACTACAGCTCACGATGTTTACACATGCTATGCACCTTTGGTCCCTCGCATCCCCTTCCTGTAGCCCAACCTCCGACCCCTCTGTTACACTAGTTGACTCGCCGTCACACTCATGTGATGTATAATGTGGGTCCCGGTGGAGCACGTACAAGCATGGGTATCTTACACCCGTCGAGCACGCTGCTGCTTGCCACACACTTGCAACTGCAAGTCCCCCGTGAGACAATGACGGCTGACTACGACTTGACGGTAGTTGAGATACACGTGTCTGGAACAAATGTGCCTGCAGCGCAAAGAGGAGCACGGATTCCACAGCGGCCTGCAGCTGCTACTGAGCCCAAGCAGACCAGAAGAGTGTAACTTAAAGCTTTACATCAGCGCAGTGTCCAAGTACATGTGCATAGCAGCCTTCCCCAGAGCAAACCCGTGTGGGCTCACTCAACTTCATCCGTCTGGCTGCGCGTGCCTTGTTGTCGCCCCACTGCCGCCTCGTGGACTGTCGGTAGCTGCGCTCGTGCAAAATTCTCCTATGAACCTGCTTGCTTTCCAACCCCGTGGCTGGGTCTGAGTGCTGCCGCTGGGCGCTTTGCTGATATGTGATGAAGTGGAGATGACTGTGGCGTTTGGACACAAGTAAGGTGCAATCTCTGTACATACTAGGTCATGAACAACGTTAATTGTGCGCAGATGGCGGCGCAGGTTGAGGGTGGCTCAGTCCAATAGACAATGTGGAAGGCATGTCACAGAGGGCGATCATTCCTAGCCTGGGGCTCCCAAGCCAGCCACAGCGACAGGCGTGAGCTCCCAGCATCACGGCTGTGGGAGATGGGTCTCTTGATCCGGCCTGCCGCCGGGCCCGCACTCGCACTCCCTGTCGCTGTCCTCGTCATCGCTCCACTCCCCAAACGGCCGCTGCTTGTGGAAAATACAGCACTCTGTGGAGCCAGAGTGGGGCGGAGGGGATGGTCGGAAGCGTTGCCTTCAAATTCATGCAAACTTAAGGATGCGCGAACAGTTTCTCGCCAGCAAGCAGGCGGCGCCATGCCAAAACAGTGCGTCCCATGACAAACCATTGCGCCCTTCACTGAGCCTGGCGTGACGCCGTCCATGCTCACTCTTGGACTTCTTTTTGCCAGCAAACTCATCCACCTCGGGGATGCCCTCTGCCCACTTGACACTCTGTGACCACAGTTGTCATTCAGCATGAATGATGGGGTTCATCAGGTGGCAACACGCACAGTCGACGAGCTTGTGTGATGACAACGGCGCACCGCACCATCTCGTAGCCCAGGCTGATGCTACGTCTTGGGTACCAGGGGTCCCGCACCTTCTTTTTCTTGCGCTTTGGCACGAGCTTGAGGGTCACCGCATCTACAGGCGCCAGGCAGCAGCGGTTCTGGTCTGTGTTCAACACGCATATCTGACAGGCTGCAGCACACGCCACAGGCTGGGAGTCCCAGCTGGCAAGCACACAGGTGCAGCAGCCGCACCTGCAACTGGTGCCATCGTTACAGTCCCAGTTTGCGCGCCGCCCGTCGAGCCCTGCTGGGACATAGGTGCGCCACCCCCCACGCCGCTCTACAACACCCCCCGCCAGCCTGTGCTGCCAAAGTGAGCACCACTGCGTACGCTGCAGCAACGCAGTACGTGATGCGCTGTGCGCGGTGCCTTGCGCGCCCTGTTGAGGACAATGCCGGCAGTCCACAAGTCCAAGCTGCTCACTATATCCACTCTGCGGGTCCTTAGATGCCCGCTCTGGCCCACTACAACACTGTCTGAACAGATTTCAGGAAGATTGGTGGGGCTTCCCCGCGTGCGCAACACCTGTTCGGTCAAGAGGACGAGTAAGTATTTGACACGCAACCAAGCGTACTTGATACCACGCAGCTGCACCGCCATGGTCGTGCGGAAGCAGAAGAGGAGTGACACGTCCCGACCAGTGCCAAGCCAATACAGCAATCATTAGTCTTCATGTTCTCTACACCGATCACGATAGGTCGCATACATCATCGCAAAAGCCTCTCAAGCCTTTGCTCCGTCACGTTCACTGCTCCAGTCGCACAGTCTCCAGCCACACGATGCGGACCCTCTGCAGCGCCCGGAGTGGCCGTCTTGCAGCTGCTGGTGAGAGCAAAATGCTACATTTGAGCAATAAACGGTTGTATGCACAACGCGGGCTAGCCCAGACAACTCACGGCCGATTCGCTCGTGCACACAAATCAAACAGGGCACTCGCCCCAGCAGCAGCAGCGGTTCGTGCGCGCCAGCGCACTCTCGGGCGACAAGCTCAAGCGTCCGGAGCTGAAGCGGCCAGAGCAGCCCAAGCGGCTGTTCGACGATTCGGCAGAGGCGGCAGCGCCCACGGCCGCGCCCGCAGCAGCGGCGCCCGTGTCAGCGCCCCTCACAGCAGCAGCAGCCCCTGGCAATGGGTGGGTTGTGATGCAGTAATGTACCATTTTTCTGCTGGGCAGTATGACGAACCAGCTTCTGCAGCATCACTGGTTGGCGCACATTGCTCGTGCTGGCTGTCCATCGCGGCAGCGGCCATACGCGCCATCTTTACACCACTCAGACACCACTCAAAGTTGTCCCTGAATATGCATGTGCCCTTAATTCCATAGGACCGTGACTATTGAGTACCAGCGGCAGCGCGCCAAGGAGATCCGCAAGTACTTTGAGGACGCCAAGCTGGAAGCCGCCACCACCAAGGCGCAGTGAGTGCACACCACCACTTTCGGCAAGGCGTCACTGTATAGGCGACAGGCCCAGAGTGTTTGCCCAGAGTGTGTTAGGCACCTGCTTCATTAGCGCTGGCGGTGTCCAATGGAATTCAGGGCGTTCATGGAATAAATGGGCCAAGCTCTGCAATGCATCGCATATAACTCTATGCCACAGGGTGTTTGGCTGGACGCCGAGCAACGAGATTGGCAACGGGCGCTGGGTCATGTTCGGCTTCTTTGTGGGCATGATGACGGAGTACGCTACGGGGGTGGACTTCATCCACCAGCTGGAGCAGATTGTCAGCTACACAGGTGGGCGCACACATCTCGGCATACCCCTCAGTTCGGAGCCTGTTTTGCAGAGCAGAGCATAGCTGCCACAGCTGCCACAGCTGCCACAGCTGCCACAGCTGCCACAGCTGCCACAGCTGCCACGCCTCTATACGTGGACCGGCGTTTCTGCACTGCAATACAACAATGTGTGAGGGACTGTGCCGCTCTTGCTGCACGCACGTCGCCAACCCATCCCCCCTGCTTGCCCCTTCATCCGGTTGACTCCCATTGCAGGCCTGTGGGACTTTGAGTGAGTGGTGATGGCTTCTGACGGTCCAAGATGTGTTGTCCAAACAGACTTGAGTGAGCAGCAGCAGCCTTCCAGAGTCATATGCAAGCTGCTGTTGCGATCCCGCCCCATTGGCGCGGTGCATGCGCAACCCTGTGGCGCAGCCCAGTTTTGAAAGTCATTTGCGAGTGCTAGAGAGAGTGTCTTTTTGTATGTAAACATGGTCATGTACCATACCCAACATTGGCCATGCCACTGACTGTTGCCAAGTATCACAAACCAGATGTGAGCTCGGTGTGGAGCACGGCAAATCTAGCTGCTATGTTGGTGGCTCTGGATCACATGCACCCCACTCAGCGGCCAGCATCTACCGTATGGTGTCGCGTTGATACAATTTGCAGTAGGCAGCGAGCTAGTTTTTCAAAGTTTACATCATGGTCATCTGACCTCGTCCTTGCCTGCAAGCAGCAGTATACGGGGGTTGGATAGAAGCTGGCTTTTAGGGTTTGGAAGCTGGCTTCAAGGGCAAGGTTATGTCACCCTTGAACAGGAGCCAACTTCATACAGCACATGAGTGAATACTACATCCAAAGTGACTAATGTTCACCCCTCCGCCCTGCACACAACGCTCATCCTGCTCACCATCCCGAGCAATGCTGCCGCCTTCCAGCAACTCTGACTTGAGCGCTGCCAGCAGCTGGTCCGGCTCCCACACGTCATCGCCCTCCTCCTGCACCTGGAAGGAGGGTGCAAACAGGTGAATTGGGGTTGCAAGTGCACAATAACGAGGCATGGTGTGCGATTGGTAGGTTACGAAATCAAAATTACCCTTATGCCTTCAAGGGTCTACAAAGGCACAGGCTCATCCATGGACAGCACGATGGCGCACCTGGTCTGAGGGGCACAGGCAGGCCGTGAGGAGCGAGAGATCGATGCCGGCCCCGCTACCAGCAGGCACCCAGGCCTGGTCGCCGGTCAGCTCAGCAATCTGCTGCACCCTTGCGTGGTGGGCTCGTGGCGCCTGCGCCACCTGTATCATGGGGCAGATACGCACAGGTACACACGCGTTGCGCCCAGTACACACTGCATCCCGTAAAGGATTGCCACGTAATACGCTTGACAGCACCCAAAGCGCTAGTCAGGGCTGCTAGTTGCTTTCTCAGACGCGCACCATGCATCTCAGATCCTCCTTGCCCTCCTCCTCCAGATCAGGAATGTCCTCCGCCTGGGGCACCGGCAGGCGCAAGGGAGTTCGCCTCGGCAGGCACTACTCAGCAATATCGCGTGTTGCATTTCCCGATACAAGGCAGCAATTCTGCATTACAGGTGATCGCGGCACTGCCATGTGCAACGGCAAGCTGCTTGAATCGACACGGCCCCCGCACCGGCTGCGGCACGCACCCCTCTGCCGGCCTCCCGCTCGTCGTACTTGCTGCGCTGCTTTGCAGTCTCGCTGCACAGGGCATCGTACAAGGGCATACAAAGACAAGGTTGTGTAGCAGCAGCAGCGGCAGCAGCACAAGCAGCAGCAGCAGCAGCAGCGGCAGCGGCAGCGGCAGCGGCAGCGGCAGCGGCAGCGGCAGCGGCAGCGGCAGCGGCGGCGGCAGCGGCAGCGGCAGCGGCGGCGGCAGCGGCAGCGGCAGCGGCAGCCGCGGCAGCAGCCGCGGCGGCGGCGGCCGCGGCAGCAGCAGCAGCAGCTGGAGCAGCTGGAGCAGCATTGGCAACAGCAGTCCGAGACAGAGTCGCGCAGGTGGCGACTGTCTATGACTGTGGGAGGATCGCCGACGAGCACCAATCATGATAGTGTCAGTCCGGGTGCAAAGCAGAGTTTGTGCCCACGTGCCCGCGCACCTCTGCTCGCGCTGCAGCTGCTCCTGTTTGCGACGCGACACACCAGTGAACGCAAGGGGGGGGCTGCCGTCGCAGGCTGCTGTGTTGCTGCTGCCACTTCCGTCCTGAGAAGGCAGGTCAAAACCCACACGCTTTGACGATGCTGCTCCACTGCCGCTGATGGAAGGCGACCCAAGTGAATAGTCAATTGCTGCTGCCGGCTCCAGTGGTGCTGCAAACTTGACCGCCCTGGGTCCCGGCGGCATGCCACTTGCGCCCGTTTCCTTATCTTGACTGGCTGCAGGCAGCGCCACTGCCCGCATTGCCCGCCTGCCTGATGTTGCAGCCGCCTGCAATGTCAGCATGTCAGCATGTGCCATGTTGCGCTCCCTTGTCGCGCGACTGCATCACGTGCTGGCCGGCGTTGAGTGCACAGCGTTGAGCTTGCTTTGCGCGCACCTTCATCGGCGAGAAGTCAACATTGCTATCCATTTAGAATCCAGATGCTCAGGCCGCGCGGCGACACGTTTGACCCACGGTATTGTGATCTGGGTTGCGATTGTCGCACCTTCCGTCGCTCTGATCAATCATACACATATAAATGATAACAGTTTCGCTTCAAAACATTCGGTTGCGAGGCCGTGCCAACGGCTGGTCTCATGAGTTATTTCTTGGGAGCTAGGGAGCAGCTAGAGCGTCATTGTTGAATTTGTGGTACCGTAGTGCGAAGCTGACTGCTGCCACACGCACACAAAGAAGCACATGAGCACGCACAAGGTGAGCACTTTGTGGCTAGGCGCCGCCCATGACCTGACCATACGGTAGGGCGACACGAGCACCAAGCGCTCAGTGGTTTGCTTGTACTCAGGCTCTCGCAGTCTACCATGTCAGGAGAAATCTCAAGTGCAAACATGCGAGTGATAGTCCGTGGGTCTGTTGTGCTGTCCTTTGAGCGTCATCTCGACATCATCCACTACTGCAGTACGGTACGAACAGACTGGAGCCTGTTGGCAATGCGCAAGTGCATCTGGCTGTGGTGCTGCCAGTCCATTGCTCTGTGCATTCCTCAACCCTAGCACCATAGCTCTTGCAACTTGGCTTGGAACAGTGACTCCATTCTCACGTGTGCTATATTTGATATATTGGATAGAAATCTCTTACTTGCAAACCAACAATGCAAGCTACGACGGAAACATCGTGCGTGCACTCGCCCGTAGCCGCCTCCCTGCCAATGGGTGTACTCTGGCGATAGACCTGCGTTTGTACATGGGCATGCAAATTCATGCACACATCCGCCTGACTGTGGTTTGATGTTGATTATGCAATGGGCCTCGCGGGGGGCGAACAAATCAACCACGGGACACAGCTTTCAGGTGACCCTAAAAACGCTGGTTGCAGCTGCTGAGTGGTCGTCCCATCATGATGACGGTCCTTCCTAGGCAGGCGTAGCAGTAACATGCACCCTGCGCCTTGCCTCTGTGACAAATCAGCACGTCCTGGACGCCTGCCCGCTTGGATACCATTGCGCTGAGGGCGTGGGGCAAAGGCAGGGTGGGCGGTGTGTGGGTGAGAGGTGCTGAGAAGAGGCAGCACACCCAAACAATTGTTGTTTGGCGCCGCTGCTAGCAGTGGCGCACGGCACAGGCGAGGCACACACCGCCCTGTTCACCCTGGCTCACGTGTCAAGAAGCAGACGTGGTTGGGGTATGTGATGGAGGGGCCGTTGCAGTCGAATCGCAGGGAGCCAAACACCATGCCCTTGGGGGCGCTCCACCCATTGCTGGGGTTGCCAGCGAGCTGGGTGGCCTGCATTTGCAATCAGGGTGGTCAAGCCATAAGCAGGGGGGGTTGAGGACATGCAAGAAAGGGCGGAGTGAAGACCTGCTGCGGCTGGGCTTGTCATGCTGTTTCCCCCTGGTGCTGCAAGCGCACAAAAGAGTCGCACCATTATCACAAATTCAAAGCATCTCTCCAGCAGCGCTCCCCACTCACTGTGTCGCCGCAGGTCAGTGTCTTGGTTGGGCCATCCACGAGGCCCTCGAGCGAACGGTCGTACTGTGATATTGTAAACGTGACGCGCCGCAGGCTCCTCCCATCTCTGCTGGCCACCCAGCGCATTTCGGTGACCACTGACATGGTACGCTTGGTGTTGGGGAGCGCCAAAATTTCATCTACCTCAGGATTTGGGAATGACGCGTCGGCGCAGGCTGCAGACAAGGGGCTTGGCTTGCCCCAGGTGGGCCTCCCAGCCTTGGCTGTGTTGGGCGGACAGGATGCCTCCTTACTGTGGGGCGGTGGTGTGCAAGGGGTGATCGTGTTGCTGGCTGTGGCCCCATGCGGGGGGGATGGCAGCGTTGTGAAAACACTGAAGCTTCATACAAGCACAAGTGCGCCAGTGCCCAATGATCTACTTACTTGCTGCCCCAGGCGCCGAACCAGATGTTGGTCACAAAGCCGTCGTCCGTTACTCTGCAGGCTAGCTGATTGATCGGCGTGTCGCACATGCCTGCGGCTGGCCCAGCAGGGGCCGCTGTATGGAGTGGGGAGTAATCACCAATCACTCATCGCCGATTGGTTTCATTGCAACAGCTCAACAAGATCAAGGGCCAATGGCTGTGCTGGTGGCCACAAGTGCAGAAGGGTACCCTCAACTGCTGCACCCAGCCTGTGCATGGGTCTGACAGGCGACATGCAGTGAGATGCGCCGCGCCTGCCAAAAACGGCGGCACTCACCCTGCTGCAGCTCTCTTGCGTCCCCAACAGAAGTGCAAACCAGCATCACGACTATGCTCCACAGCACGCCCTTCATCTCGCCTCCAGCTGGATCTAGCTCTACACCGCCTCTCTGAAAGTGTGTGCCTAACACGGGTGACGCGTGGGTTTTGTTGCGAAAGCAAAATTTAAGATAGTATTGATCGGCCCTGAACCTTTGCTGCGAAGTGCAGTACCGTACGGACGCGCAGCTTCGTTCTGTCGACAGTCATCATACGGCAATGTGCAGCAATGTGCAGCATTGTGCAGGGATTTTGTAGTCCTGTACTCCCGAAATCACCCCATTGTAAGATGCTGGTCTGAGTCGCTGAGTTTGTGCACCGCAAGCAACGCAGGTGAAAAGGCAGTGAGCATGGCTGAGCACAGCAGCGAGGTAAGGCGCGAGTAATAGTGGGCCCTGAGTTGGAGGTGAGGCGAGGGCAAGCGGGCTCTCGTGAGCGCGACTCAAGTCCCTCACACTGAGATAGGGCCTGCAACATGCCGGACCTGGTCCCCGGCAGCAGCCCACGTTTCAAGGCGGGGTGGCTCGGACACGTGCAGAACGGCGGGGCAAAGCTTGACGCAGAGGCTCAAATGATAGACCTGCAACCACTCGCAACCGGCGCATGGAAGGGCCGACAGTGGCCGGTTGCCCTCTATCACCCGCACAGCGTGTCATTTGACACGGCACATACAGTCGACCATTCCATTCAGAAGGGGGGGACACCTGGGTTTTGGCTGTCGCATGTATTATGTGTAGCTGTCCGACGCACTCCCCACAAACAGTTGCTCATGAACAGGACCACGGCAGCATCTTGGCAAACATCCTGTAAGCAGTAGAACGGAGCCATGGAAAGTGACATCTCCTCGTCACCCAGTTCACGAGTATAGGTCGCAGCGCCCTATCCCACCCCTTGATTGTGCGCTGAGCAGGAGCGTCCAGCTCCTGGCAGGTGAGGGCAGCTGAAGCCCTTTGTGTTGCATGTCTCTCTGGTGCAGCTTCCAGGTTCAGGCTGCGTTGTGCACCACACTGTGTTTGTTCCCGCGTTTGCCGTCACAGCCGCCACACGCACCTCGCCTGGCCCCTCGAGGTACAATGTACGTGAGCCCTCCCGTGCCCATCACAGGTCGTGCGATGGTTCTTTGTTTGCATGACCGCGTTCGCTCCTGCTGTTACGAACTACCGGGGACCACTGAAGCTGGCGTTGAAAGCAACACAGCCATGCACTTAGGCCAGCTCAATGAGCTGGCCCCTTTCCGACTGGCAGCATCCCAGCCCTGAAAGCCCGCCTGGTTGTGCACTGCACGGGGGCGCCGCTACATAATCGCGCAGCTGCGAGTGGTGAGCAGGCCGCCCTCACCCTTGAGGGCCTGCGTGACATCGGGGTCCTGCGCGGCCAGCGCGCGCAGCAGCAGGAGCGCGCTGTCGCCGTTCTCCACCACGTTGATGTCGCCCTCGGGCTCCTCCTCGCCCTCGCCCTCGGCTTCCGCCTGTGCATGCCCCTCGCTCTGGCAGCGACGTCGATGGGGTTGGTGACAAAATGTTGTCTGGGGGGACCACTGGGAAGCACTGTGAAAAGCATCCGCGCAGCCGCAGCCTGCCTCACGCACGCTGTTGTCTCGCCGCAGTCCCAGCCGCTCCACCCTCTTAGATTGCGGACTGCCCCCAGTGGCCCCTCCCCCCCCACCTGCTCCACGAGGTCGAGCAGCGGCTCCACCAGCTGCTTGCCAGACACACCCAGGGCGGCCTTGGCAGGGGACAGCAGCTTGCGGTCGTCCTGGCAGCAAGTTGTGCAGGGGAGGAGACAAGGTGGGACAAAGAAACAGGATGATGGTGCGGCAGCACAGTTGCTGTTGAGCAATCATATCATGGTGCTTTTGCGCTGCCGTTTTGACAAGTGATGATGCAGAGATGCCTGCGGCGACTGATAGGCACGACAGCTAGGAGTGATTTCGTGCAGACAAGGCCGTCGCAATGCCGGAGGACCCTGAACCCGGCTGCGCGAACGAGTTCCTCATCCCCTGCACCCACCTTGACAAGCACCCACACCAGGTGAGCGCTAACGTCCCGCGCATCAAGGTCGCCTGGGGAGGGGTATGGACGACCACATTACGGGAGGCGATGATCGTCAGGGGGGACAGCGTATGTTGCAGCTCGCTCTGCGTGCTGCCACAAACCTATGGCCGCACCTACAGGGCAGACGTGCAGGCATAGCCAACGGCTTGTGACAACATGCAGCATCCATTGAGCAAGAAGCAGTGATCATGCCAGTGCGGGGTTCTCCCCCAGACCTCGATCTCCCCGCCTTTTTCTTCCCCCCTTGCCTGTGACCAGCAGCTCTGCAGCCAGCGGCAGCGCGCCCTCCGCCACCAGGTACGTAGCCGCCCCGCGCCGCCCCTCGGCGATGTTGCCCAGCAGCGCCGCGGCCGCCGCCTTGTCGGCCGGGCTGCCGGTACGCAGGAAGCCCAGGGCGGGGCTCAGGGCCTGGTCCAGCAGCACGGCCACGTCATCCCTTGGGGAGGGAGGGGGGCGCACGGGCGAATGGCATGGGTCATCAGCGGGCAAGCAGGTGCAGCAGCCCCACCCAGCTATTTCTTTCGACCCCACAGGCGCAAGAAACGCGCGCACGCACAAACATACACACGCACGCGCGCACACACACACACACACACACACACACACAAACACACACACACACACACACACACAAACACGCATGTTGACGCGCCCCCCCACCTGATGTCTATGCCCACCACCAGGTCGTCCAGGGCCCCCAGGGCGCGCGCCTCACCCTGGCCCAGGCGGTGAACCACCTGGGATCAGGACAGGGGCAGCACGGGTATGAGGGGGAGACCTGGGGCCAAGGCACAACAATCAGACGGCAGCAGCCGTGAGTGCGTGTGCTGCTGCCTGTTGACGCCTTCCTGCGTGCGAGCTGACGAACAGACAGCGCAAATCGAAGGGCGTCATAGCATGCAGCGAGTGTGACTCTCTGGCCCCAGAACAGACACCGCGCAGCCAGCCAGCCGTCCCCTCCTTGCCGCCCACCTCATGCAGCAGCGTAATGGTGTTGGCGCGGTTGAGTGACGTCAGCGCTGCCAGAGCTTCGGTGCCTGCCACCGCCACCGGCTCGCTCTCGCTGAACCGCAGGTTGACCAACACACTGTTGGGGTTGTCGGGGGGCGGGGTGAGGGTGAGGGTGAGGGTGAGGGGCAAGAGGCCAGGGGTGGAAAAGGTGGAGGACTGCAGGCGGGCTGACCGGGTGCTGCTGAGGGCTGCAGAGGGCCTGGCCGCATGCAGCGTTGCAGCGCCATGGCGCAGGCCTCACCCAAAGATGCCCTCCAGCTCCCCGACCTCCTCCTGCACCGGGTTGAGCGCCACCTTCTCCGCGGTGGCCGCAAAGTGGCCCGCCTCCAGCCGGTCCTTCACAACGCCTGGCCGCAGCAGAGGAGGGGGTGCTCAGCACCATCGTGGTTCGGTTCTGCTGGTGATCACACCCGTGTGCAGGCAAGCTGCGCTTCCAAACTGCGCGTGGTCCGTGCGGCCGCTACCCACCGGCGTGGTCGCTCAGCGCCGCCAGGCTGTTGGCCGCCTCCACCACCACCGCCTGGGAGTCGTCCTCCAGCAGCTGCGGGGTTTGGGTGCGGCACGGGCGCGCGGGCAGGGTGGCGCTGTGTGCTGAGGGGTTTCTGGTTTGGCAGGCTGAGGAGGGGCGGTGGAGCAGCCGTGGCAGTGTCACAGTGAGGTCATGGCAAGATTATTGCAAGAATACCATGTGCAATGGTAATGATGGTGGATACCACCCATACAGACGCAAATGGTGGCCAGGCGTGTGTTGCCACGTGCTTTGTTGCCCAATCCAATGGCGCGCCTGCAACGGTGCCCCTCCGCACCTGCATGAGCACGTGCAGCACGCGCCCAGCTGCGCTGCGCTGCACTTCGTAAGACTCGTCCGCCGGGTCGATCAAGGCCTACGAGAGCACAGATGTGAGTGTTTGCGCTTTGATCACTCAAGAGGTGCTGATCAAGGGGATCCGGCTGCCTGTCGGAAGCAGCGTGGGGCGTGGGGAGAGGTCACGGTGCCGGGCATGGGTGGCGGGCGCCGCGCACCGTGAGCCCCTTGAGCGCCTCGATCTTGGCGTCTTCATCGCCTTGTGGCGCCTGCTCGAGGGCCGCGAGGACCTCGTCTACCGCTGCCATGCTTGGGTGCTTCTATCTAGTTGGATCTGGTGGGTGTGTCGGTATCGCAGTGCTTTGTCTGATCAAAATACAATACGATGCGCGTTTTACGCTGATGGACGGGTGTGTGTTGTGTTGATCGCCTCGCAGTGAGAGGGGTGACTACTGGACAAGTGACGTGGACCGATCTCTTTCACAGCAGATACATCTGGGGTCAAAGGATCTGTGCTGGCAGCAATTATAACGCTACATACAAGCGACAGCGCGCTGTCTGTGATCTGATCTCAAACATTTTGCCAAGCCCAGGGCGAGCCAGCCGTGACCTAGCTTGCAGATGACAAATATATTGTTGGCTTTCTGATCATCTCAACCCTTACGCACGCACAGCGCCGCTGTCCGCATTGCCGGCGGCAGCACGGCGGCGAGCGCGATGTCGATGCCAGAGCCAGAAGTCAGCAAGCGGCCGCGCGATGAGCTTACGGACCGCCTGATCAAAGAGGCGCTGGAGGATGAACAGCGCCGCAAGCGTGAGAAGAAGGGGCTGCCCCCTGTTGGTACTGGACCAGGTGCGCGGGGGATTGACGGGCGCACTGGGCAAGACTGCAGGGCGCAGCGGTTGCGCACCGCCAGCTGCTGCGCCACGGACTTGCAAGGCCGCTGCGCGCTGCTCACCACGGCTTGTTGGGCAGGACTGCATCCTGCGACCTGCCTCATGCCGTCACAGCCTCGTGCCGTCACAGCATCTCTTGTACTGCGTGCCGTAGGCAGCGTCTGTACCCATGTGCCTGGAGCCCTCCCCCCTCGTGTCCCGCCCATCCCCGCCCCCTGTGCCACCCCGCAGTGACCACCAGGAAGGCCTTCAAGGGCAAGACCCTGGCTGAGATTGAGGAGGAGGAGGGCGGCCCCGTCAAGGAGAGCCTCGTGGGCATGGCGCACACAAAGCGCGCGCAGCGGCGGCGCGCGGCGGCGCCTGGCGACACCGACTTGCCCGATGACATCGCCGCCGCCGAGGAAGTCTATGAGGGCGACGAGGAGGAGGAGGAGGAGGAGGACGGCGAGGAGGATGAGGGGCAGGCCGGTGGCGGCGGTCGCCGCGCAAAGTCCCCAAAGGGGGGCGCCCCGGCAGGCAAGCCTCCCGGCGGCGGCGCACGGCCGGCCGGCGCGCAGAAAGGCGGCGGTCAGGCTGCGGCCGCAGTGGCGGAGCTGCCGGGCGGCGACGCTGCGCCGTTGACGGCGTTCAATCTGAACGAGGAGCGGGGTGAGGGCCACTTTGACGAGGAGGGCAACTTTGTGTTCGACAAGGAGGACCCCAACGATCAGGACGAGTGGCTGAGGAGCGACGAGGGTGCGCCGCTGGCGGGCACATTTGCGTGTGTCGGTGTGAGGCAAGAGAACAATGGCGCTTGGGGCTGCTGGGGGATGGACAGGCTGTGCGGCAGCTGGAGGGTGCGGTGTGTGGTATACAGCACACTGCCAGCATGCCCTGGCAGGTTGAGTCGAGTGCAGACGCCTGAATTGCTGCAGCATAGGTGGCAAGTAGGATGGAGGCGTGCAGTAGCAGGACTCACGTGATGATGGCCAGCTGCTGCAGCCAGCTGTGTCTTTCCCCCCTCCCTTCCCCCCTCCTGCTCACCCCCATCGCTACTCCCAAAACCTCCCCCCCCTGCAGTGAAGGCACCCGTGAGTGAGGAGCTGAGGCGCAGGGTGGAGGCGGAGCACGCGGCCATGAAGGCGGCCGAGGCGGCGCCCGCGCTGAGTGAGGCGCAGGTGGCGCGCGCGCAGCTGGAGATGTCGCGTCTCATGCAGGCCGGGGAGAGTGTCGCGGCGGCGCTCAAGCGGATGCGCGGCGGGGGCGACACGGGGCCCAAGAAGGGTGAGCGCACAGGGCAGCGGGGTGCAGGGGCTCTCTCGATCGCAGCGCAGCGGTATCTACCAGCCGTGGAGGCCCCACTGATGCGCGAGCCTGCCTTTCAGGAGTATAGGGTCAGCACTCCTTGCAGCTGATCCAGCCCGTCCTCCCCCGCCCTGTACATGTTCGCCCCTCGACGCGCACACCCACCACTTACCCAGGCAGCCGCACACTCACCCTTGCACCCGTGCATCCACCCTTCCACCCGTTCCGCCACCAGCCATGGGCAAGCGCGAGAAGGCCCGCCTGGCCAAGCTGGAGGCGGAGCGCGCCGCCAAGGCCGCGGCGAAGGGCGGCAGCGCGGGCGCAGGCTCTGCCGGCGGCGGTGCGGGCGGCGCGTCGGACGAGGCGGGCTTCCAGCGGCTGACTGAACTGGCTGACATGCTGGTCAGCGCGGGGGAGCTGGACGTTTACGGCGCGACCTGCGAGCAGCTGCGGCGCTGGGCGGCGCTGACGCTGCCGCGGTCAGAGGTGGAGGGGGAGGCCGGCGCCAAGGAGGACGGCGGCGGCAAGCCAGGTGAGGGCTGGAGGGGTTATGCGCCCCTGCTTCAGGCAGAGCGTGGGATCTGGATGCATACGCCGCAGAAGGATTATGTGAGAAGAGCGACAGCCGAACCCGCTTGATTCAAGGCTGCGGCTGCATAACTTTCTCGGTTAGCAGACGCGCTCATCACCGGCGCCGCTCAGCCTCGTCCGTGAGCGTTCACCTTGACCATCCCCCCACCCTCCACCCTCCACCCTTGAATTGGCCCAATGCAATCATGCATGCAGCGGTTGACGTTGACGACGACGATGACATGTTTGCCAGTGACGACGACGACAAGCCAAAGGCAGCGGCAGTCGTGCGGACGCAGCCACCACCAGCAGCCCCACCAGCTGCAGCTGCACCGGTAGCAGCGCCCGAGGCGGATTCTGCAGCAGTGCCAACCACGGGTGCTACGGCGGCAGCCCCACCCAGCGGCGGCAGTGGGGGAGGCGGGGTGACTGATTACGCATCATGGCCGATCAAGGAGTTGCGGCGGTTCCTGCAGGAACGCGGGCAGGTGAACAGGGGATGGGCAATGGGCCTGGGCAAGCACTTTGGCAGTCCAGGATGCTGCATGCTTTCCGTGATCAAGATCACAAGGGCGCGCTTCCTCCCACTGATGTGTGTATCAGGGTACCGATTGTCATGCACAAAGCGCGACCTCTGCTCCCAACCCCGCAGGACACTGCGGGCATCGTGGAGAAGGGCGACCTGGTGGCCCGCGTGAGGGAGGCGGCCGCCCGGGGCCCAGCACGCACGGCGGGCTGAGCGAACGCAGCGGCACGCTACGCGTCGTCAAGGGCTGCTTGCATCAATTGGTGAAGCGACCAGTAAGCTGCCACTGCAATGAAACCGTGTTCGTCTGCTTCCGCTGGACTGTCTGCGGTGAACGGTCGCCAGGGTGCTCTGGGGGTGGGGTCGGTTCTATCGCGGCGCCTCGTTGGCCCCCAGTCCCAGGCCAGCGGCCTTTTATCCACAACAAGTAACAGCTGCACAACAACACGTAAGCAACCTTCGGAGTAGCCGTCGTGGCCAATGGGGCACTTGCGGGCAGCGCCTTGATCTTCTTGAGACGCTAGCGGGAGACAGATGAGCCAAGAGCAGCGCGCAGTGGCACCGGGTGCCCCGAACGCTGAACGGTCTGTGGGGCTTCATTGGCTGGCGCGATCGAACGAATTTTGCGTTGTAAACGATATCACATCACTGCAGCACTCTTCCCTGCGCCGCTTTGGCCATATCGGAGTGGCCGGGCTTCTGCAGCGACAGTCTCTGCCCATCGCGGCTCGTCGTCCAGTGTTTCACTCCAGCACACAATGCAGCTCAGGGGCGCTGCGCAGCAGCGGCGTGTTGCTGAGGGTGCTCGGTGCGTGTCCACAAGGGGCTTCATTCCCTTCCGATCCAAGCATCCAGTGCACGGTGCCATTGATCTATGATTTGCACTGCAGGAGATACATTTTCCGACCAGGCATCGGCCCCCATTGCGCGCTGACCAAGACCCCGGTGCATCGGTTCTCTCCTGTTGTGCTCTCGGCCCCCCACTCCTGCAGTGCCAGGCCAGTGGTCGTCCGCCCTTCCTCGGCAGCGCGTCCTTCTCGCAGCGCAATCATGGTGTCCGCGGTTGCCGGGGTGAGCCGTGCTCGGGAGTGTGTCGGTGCAACGCGTTGGCAGATCAGAACTCCTCGCCTCGGGTCAGGATCATGCCTTGGAGTAGCTAAAATCAAGCATACGAGTGGCAGGCGGGAGTGAGGCGTGCCAGCGCTGAACGCAGCGGCACCGAGGCCGTTGACGCGCTTTCAGTCGTCAGCACAGTGCAGCGCCGACTTCCCATGGCAGGTGCCGCGGCAGCGCTCTTGCCAGCTGTGTCAGCAAGAATCTTACTTCTATCACCCCATGTTGCCAGCTGCCGGCCGCAGAGCGCTGCTTGGGCACTCGTCCGTGGCTGGGCGCCCGAGCGGGGGTGCTCGCAGCTGCCCCCCCCATCGGCTCGCGCCTCCCCCCTGCCGCATCACCTGCGCGAACACGTCCCTCACCCCGCTGCCCCTCCCCCCCTCCCTCCCAGGTGGCCGTGAAGGAGGTGGCCACCACCCCCTACGAGGGCCAGAAGACCGGCACCAGCGGCCTGCGCAAGAAGACGCGTGAGTTCACCAAGCCCAACTACCTGGCCAACTGGGTGCAGTCGCTGTTCAATGCCCTGGGGGACGAGGTCAAGGGCCAGACCCTGGGGCTGGGGGGTGACGGCCGCTACTACGGCAAGGAGGCGGCCCAGACCATCATCAAGCTGGCGGCGGGCAACGGGTTTGCCAAGGTGGTGGTGGGGCGCGACGCGCTGATGGCCACGCCCGCCATGAGCGCCGTCATCCGCCGCAACAAGCTCTACGGTGGGTGGGCCGCGGCTGGGGGCGCAGCGTGGGGCGGCTGGGATGATTTCTTTGGACGGGACGAGGGAGCAGGCGGCGGAGTTGCGCACATTGTGCTTTGTGCAAATTGTGCTGTGACGGTGCTTGTCCACGTCTCGGGATCAGGCAGTGAATGGTTCAGGCCGACGATTTTAGTGGGGCCACTTCGGAATCGCTGCTGATGGTAGCAGTCGAGGGGGTTGGCAAGTGCTACATTGCTGCAAATCCTGTTGCTACAGCTCTAGGCTTTCAAGGTGTGAATCGAATTGGACTGGCAATGGTGCGTTTTCGCATGAGCGCACATGTACTTTGTTGGCTGCAGTTGCAATGACATCAACGCGCATATGCATCTGCTCGCACCCATGACCCCCCACCCAGGCGGCCTGATCATGAGCGCGAGCCACAACCCCGGTGGCCCCGACAACGACTTTGGCATCAAGTTCAACTACAAGGCCGGAGAGCCGGCACCCGAGAAGATCACTGACAAGATCTTTGCTGAGACCGAGAAGATCTCCGTGCTGCACACCGCCGATATCCCGGACATCGACCTCTCCAAGGTGATGATGGAGGGGTGGCCGGGGCGGGGGGGTGTGAGGGTGAGGGTGAGGGCAGGCAGAGGGGCCACGTCGGCCAGTGGTGGGGCGGGGAATACATCGTGCTGATGTGGGAGGCGCCCTGTTGAATGGGATTGCCTTGGACGACCAAGGCGGCCTAGGTCACGCGCGTGCTTGCAACCGTGTGATGGGGTCGCAAGTGACAACATCGCCGCTCGTGCAGTGTCTCACATCAACTCGCGCCAGGTCTGCAGCCTCCTCTCCCCAGCATGCCCAACCCCCAGCTTTCCTTCCCTCCCCTTGTCTGCGTCCCCTCAGGTTGGTGTGACCAAGTTTGGTGATTTTGAGGTGGAGGTGGTGGACCCCGTGGCGGACTACCTGGCCACACTCAAGGAGGTGTTCGACTTCCCCGCACTCAAGTGGGCGGGGCCGAGGGGGGCACAGCGGCTGTCGTGGTCACGGGCAGCAGCGCGCTGGCGTGCTGCTGCTGCTGGTGTTGTGGACGTGTTGCGAGATGGTGCGGCAGCTGTGGCGCTAGCAAATAGTGGAAAGGCGGCACACGCTGCCCACACCACAACCCGGCTGCTGTTCCTCTTCGCCTGTTCTCCCCATGCAGGGCGTTTGTGAGCCGCCCCGACTTCTCCATGACCTTTGACAGCATGCACGCCGTCACGGGGCCCTACGCCAAGGCCATCTTTGAGGGCGAGCTGGGGGCCAAGGCCGGCACCGTCGTCAACGGGGTGCGCACTCCAATGCCGTGGGGTGGGGTCGTGCAGCCTCCATTCGCTGTTCGCTTCCTCCCCACGTTAGGAGTTCCATTAATATCACACCAGTCCTGCGCACGTCCAGGAACGCCGGCACCTTGACCCCGCCGTGCGAGACCCGCACCACCCTTGGCCCGCCGCATCGCGCAGCCGTCCTGAGCCACCCGCAGCGTCTCAACTGCCCCTGCCCGACTTTGGTGGCGGCCACCCTGACCCCAACCTGACGTACGCCCACGACCTGGTCGAGACCATGTGGGCGGACGGCGCCCCCGCCCTGGGCGCGGCCTCTGACGGTGACGGCGACCGCAACATGGTGCTGGGGGCCAAGCACTTTGTGAGCCCCAGCGACAGCGTGGCCATGATCGCCGCCAACTACCAGGCCATCCCCTACTTCAAGGACGGCCTCAAGGTGCTTGCGGGAGGGGGGGACAAGGGGACGCAGGTTTTGCAGGCCTGGATCGTGGGCTGGTAGAGCTGATTGGGGTGTGCCTGTCGGTGTGGAGGTGGTCGAGCAACGTGGCAGGGCAGGGGGCTACGCGTTCGCTCCTCACAGCGAGTGCAGTCGGTTGACCGATCGGAGCGCGCAGGCGGGGGGGCTGCTGTGCCAGGAGTTTGGCCAGGCACGCGAAGCAGCACGGCACGAGAAGCAGCACGGCACGAGCAGCTCTGCGCTCTATTGCGGGGTGGGGACTGGCAGGAGAGATCCGATTTGCCGGGATTTATCGCAGGCACATGTTGCCTTAGTGCAGCTGCACCCCAGGTCACGCCCACCAAACGCCAGCCGCCCTGGCCTCCCTGCACAAGCCCCCCTTTTCACTCGCCCCCTCACCGCTCGCCGCCACGCCCCCTCCCCCCTCTGCCCGCAACCCCCCAGGGTGTGGCGCGCTCCATGCCCACC